CTACAAAGGTAAACCTTGTAAGGTAGGCAAGGCGGGGTTGTATGATGTGTGTGAGTTCTGGTACCCTTTTTTTTTTTTTTTTTTTTTTACAAAAAAAGCACTGTGTGTATGTATACATATTGTTTTCTCTAAGCAACTACCAAGTTAGGCGGCCTTATTTGTTTATGGGTATTAAAGAATTATATCAACACTTTCAATGATTGAACTAAATTTTGCTAGGGATCCAAATAACTCTGCCCCAGCTTTCTGCAATTATTGTTTGCTTGCTCGGTTGTCTCTTCCTGAACATACTCATTTGTAAAGCAAAAGCAAAAACCAGTAAATCTAATGCATGTCGTTATAGAAAAGGAATGAAACGTTTCCAGAAAGATGAAATGAACATTGGATACCGCTCATCAGCCAAAAGGAGAATGTATTTTTTTTTCTTGTAAGGGGCTACGTTTGTGTGTGTGTGTGTGTGTGTGTGTATGCAAGTGCGTGCAAGCTAGAGAGATCTAGGGAGCGCTCCCCAGACCTCCTTCCAACCCAGAGAGCAACACGAGCGAGTTGACCCTCCCTTTGACCTTTCTTGTTCCGGCTGACACCCGCGGTGAAACCAAGTTCATCCCAATGTAACGTCTGGCACTCGAGGGTCTAGACAGATGTAAACACCGGCAGGACTATTTGGGGAAGGGGCAGCTTTTTCAGTGAGCTCCAGACAAGCTTTTTCAGGGAGCTCCAGAGAGGACGCCATTGTTTATTACCTGTCTTAGCAGAAATGCTCCCCAGTTCACCTCAAAGAACCCACCATAAAGCTGGGAAACAAATATTTGCTCAACCTTCTGCCTAAGAGCACTTTGAGCTTCTAAAAGTTGTGGAGATTCAGGTCTGCTTGAAACACGGCCTTCCATTTCAGCGGAGGTGGGTGAGACTGTCGCCAAGAAAAACAACAAACAGGGCAGCCTCTTCTGTGGCCTTAGAGGGGAGGGTCCTCTAAGGAGGACCCTCCCTCTGTGTGTGTGTGTGTGCACAAGCACCAATACTTGAAGGGATGGGAGATAGAAAATCCAACCCCATACAATTCCTTTCAACAAGACAGCCAGAACAAAAGTACAATGCCTACATTTTGTCCTCTAAGGATTTCCTCTTGGGAAAATGCTTCTGAATGACGTGTGTGTGTGTGTGTGTGTGTGTGTGTGTGTTTGTGTGGCCACCTTTTACAACACCCTACGAACCCATTTCTTAAATAAACAGTTCCGAGGAGCATTCAAAGCAAACTGACTAGATACGTAAGATTTCAAACAAGAAGCTTCTGGGGATGGTTTTTCTTTTTTTAAAAAATGAATCTATTTGGGGAAGGGGGAGATAATTAATTAAAAGGCATTGAGATACTACCCAGCATCCACTTACAACGAGGTCCTTTACCTGTTTACTGGGAAATCAACCCTACTAAATTCTGCTTCAGGGGTCTTCAAACTTGGCCTTTTTATGACTTGTGGACTTCAACTCCCAGAATTCCTCAGCCAGGCACTCTGGCTGAGGAATTCTGGGAGTTGAAGTCCACAAGTCATAAAAGGGCCAAGTTTGAAGACCCCCGTTCTACTTCATGGAATGAAGGAAAAGGGGGACTGAGAAACGCGAAGAACACCTGTAATACCCCCATTCGTCTGTGGCGATTTTTTTTCTAAAAAGAAAGCCGGCGGTAACGCGATCTTCTGAATTCTGATCTGGGATGAGACAGGGTTTTTAAAGGAGCGTCCGTATTTGCAAATGTTTAGAAGAGGCGGTCGGGGTGGGCAATAAACTAGGATTAGAAGGGAAAAAAACGGGGGAAACAGAAACTCCTGGCCGGTTCAAGCCTTCCGGAAAACAGAAGGGGGCGCCAAAGGCCAGCAAAAAAAAAAAGCACTCACAGATATCCGTTTCCTATTTTTACGAGAGGTTGCCCGCGCTGCAGTCTGGGTCGAAACTCGCCCAGGTGCTCTCGGGCACAGGAACGGCAGGGGCTTTTATGTTATTCCGTTCCACCGCCTCTAGTTCGGTGTTTGTCTCGGGATGGGACTGGGTGGGGTGCGGGTTAATAGTTGCTTCTTGCAGGGAGTCCCCCCCCTACTCTGGGTTTTTTTTGCGGGTGAGCCTGTCACGAGGCCTCGTGGCGACTTTAAAAAAAACAACAACAACACGAATTGCCACGGATTCTAACAATCAGAGTCGACTTCGAGAGAGAGAGAGAAATGAGACAGCAGGGAGGGGCACGGGTTCAAATTTTCCAGCTGTCCTGTCAAGAAATGTTGAAGCAGCTTCGGTTGCTTTTCTTAATCAAGGCTCGGAGGAGGACTTTGTCCACTAGCTGGTTAATTCTCCCCAGCTTGTATATGTATTTCCCTGCATATATTCTGTGTTGGTGTGTATTAATCGTTTCCTAGAGGAAGGACAGGGGAGCAGGAGGACAGGGACGCAATTTTAATACAACGAACGGCTCACAATAAAAGTATTAGAGAAGCCCGCGTGTGAAATGGCGCTTCAGGCAACCGGAGGAGCTTCTGTTTCCAGCTCGTCGCCCTTCCCAGCCCTTCCGGTTTCAAGATGAGTCCAGCCTTCGGCTGCTTTTGCAACGAAGTTCGCGTTGGGAAGAACTCAAGACACCCCTTAATTAAAGGCGGAA